ATCTTTACTACAAGTTCGAACTTGGTCCCTCCATTCCACAGCATGTAAGAGGGCCCCGAACAATGCGAGTGCTTGCTTTTTTATAGCCCGAAAGTTACAGGGGAACAAAGGAATTCTTTTGGTTCCCGCGCTTTCAGTAAAACTTTGAACGGCTGTCTCCTTATCGACTTTCCAGGTGGTGTTTGTACTGGGCCCAGGAAGTTTGAGAGATATATGGAGATATGTGGTGGGATGGTTTGTGTTTGTACTGGGCTCAGGAAGTTTGAGAGATATATGGAGATATGTGGTGGGATGGTTTGTGTTTGTACTGGGCTTATTTGTTTTGAGCCCGGGGCTGAGGAATGTGCCCGATTCCCTTCACCAGCACTTTGGGAGGCCGAGGCGGGCAGATTGCCTGAGGTCAGGAGTTCAAGACCAGCCTGGCCAACATGGAGAAACCCTGTCTCTACTGAAAATACAAAAACTATCCGGGCATGGTGGTGTGTGCCTGTAATCACAGCTACTCAGGGGACTGAGGCAGGAGAGTCACTTGAACCAGGGAGGCAGAGGTTGCAGAGAGCCAAGGTCACGCCACTGAACTCAAGCCTGGGCGACAGAGCGAGACTGCGTCTCTAAATAAATAAATAAATAAAACCACACTGGCATCATTGTTCTAAATGACATAGCCAGGGGTGGTTATTTCTAAATTTTCTGTGTTGAATTAAGATAGACATGTTCCTATTTTGAACAACAACAACAACAAAAGCTAAGTGTGTTTCACTCTGCTAAAAATGTAACTTTTCTTGAGTCTGTCATTCTTTCACTTACATTTTCTGAAAATGAACATAGTAAACCAGGAAAATTAACCACCATGGAGCTCAGCATGCTGGTGGCCAGTTGGAGGAACTTTTCTACCAACAGTGTTACAGAGAAAAGAGAAATTGGGGTACGACAGCGTACCTCAACCTCAGATGCCCTGGCTATTCTGTGAAGTACGAGTGTAAGAGTTCTCTCTGTGATCTTTTGCTACTCTGCCTTTTTACTGCCAAGGGATAAGATGGGTACAGGGCCCTTTCCAGCTGCCCCTGCCTGAGAAATGCCATTTGGTGACCAAAAGCAATAACCATTCCATAGGACTAGCAGTGATTAAGTCAGCTTACGAATCCACAAGAGTGGAAGAGACTGCTAAAGACACTGGGTTTCTGCAGCTACTTTTGTGATAATACGAGAGGCTGAAATAGATAGGGGCTGAACGTGGGAAGACTGGTGTTTAGAAGCCCAAGACTTGGATTTCAGCTCTGGTGCTTACTGGCCATTGGGTCTCAAAGAGATTGGTTCCTTTTTCCCAGCCTCAGTCTCCTTATCCCATCAGAATGACAATGCCTGCCTTGGGAGAGGAGAGTCATATAGGAGAGGGCATTGGAGCTGGGCTCTAAAGAGTTCAAATAACGTAGGTGAGCAGAGATGGCTTCCGAGATAGCAGGAATAGAAAACAAAAGTGTCAGAATGGGTATACATGGTCTTTCGTGGGAATACCCCAAGATACTTAGCCTGAGAGAGAGGTGTGGTGTAGACAGCTAGGAGCTGTGAGTTTCATGGCTAAATATGGGGTGGGCCCAGACCACAGAGGGCCTTCAGCATCTGGCAAAAGAATTGGAATTAATTCAGTAGAAAATGAAGACCCACTGAAACAGAGGGAACCATTCCTCATTCCTCTCTGTCAGGAAAATATTTGGGGAACCAAAAAATAAAAAGTAGCGGGGAAACCATTGTCTCAGTCGGTTTGTGCTGCTTTAACAATACCAGAGACTGGGTAATTTATAAACAATAGAAATACTACAATTCTGGAGGCTGAGAAGGCCAGGTTCAAGAGTGGGCACGACATTGTGTGCTGAGGGCCTGGTCTCTCTACTTTTAAAATGGCGCCTTGTGGCTGCATCCTCCGGAGGCAGCAAACCCTGTGTTCTCACATGGCAGATGCACAAAAAGAGGCCTGTGCTGGTTTCCTCTAGCCCTTTTAGAAGGCACTAATCCATTCGGGGGTGTGGAACTCTCATGACTTACTTTCCAGAAGACCCCATCTCTCACTACTACCACAGTGGAGATGAGATTTCAACACATGACTGGGGGACATTCAGACCATAGCAAGCAGTGAGGAGACTATTGTAATTATCCAGGCGAAAAGTAATCATACTCCCAGGGCCGGTGAGGGTGGTGTGGAAAAGCAAGCAGGAAGTGGTTGAGAGAATTCAGAAACAGAATGCAAAAGGATTCATCAGTAGTGTAAGTACCAGACACGAAGAAATACAGGGAGTCCTGGATGGCTCTGAAGGATTCAGGCCTGTGACTGGGAGGGAGAATGAATGGTTCTGCCATGATTGGAAAACAGAAAAGGCGGGCGGGAAAGCCAGGGACCTTGAGTGCAGTTGTGTACCTACCAAGTGCATGGATCAGCAGGGAGCCCTAAGTTGGTATCTCCAGCAAAATGCTGGAAATATACAAATTTGAGTGGGAGGGAGAAGTCAAAGCTGGGGAAATACATTTCAGATTCATCCAAAGGTAGGAGATATTTAGAGTTTCAAGAGTCAATGGGATTTCCAAAGGGAGAAGTGTAGAAAAAGATAGAAAGAGATACAAGAAGAAAATGACAGGGATGAAGAGAGGAGAAAAAAAGAGTGAGAAGAGTTATTCAGAGATGCCGCAGGGAAGAAGGTTAAGTACTGTGTATGCAAAACAGTAAGAACATTGCCAGATAAAGGACAGGGTAGGCGATAGTAAGTACCACAGGCCCAAGAACAGCATAGCCCTGGGGGGTCCAAGAGCTTTCTCGCTGGCAAAGGTTATTTCCTCTCAAGATGAATGTGTAAGCACCAATAATTATTAGTATTCCAGAATATCTTCTCTTTAGCATAGTAAGTGCATAACAGTCACAAGCAAAAGATTTATATAAAGGAAATGCTCATTTAATTTATTTAATCGGACATTGGCTAAGTTATCAGCCACTGCCTATGGCTTTGTAAGACATGAAAAAGTTGGAGGAAATGTAATGAGGGCCTTTTATCTATAAGGAAATAAAACCACATGGTTTTTTAAGTATTTACAATGATAGCTAAGTGGTAAGGCTTCTACCCCCTGTTACTCTAAGTATGCCTCGTATACATCCTCAAAGTCATCATGGGAATCAAGTATTGAATTTTAGAAACGGTGCCACAGTGAATAGGGATATATTATAACTCAGATTAGACTTCAAAAGGACTGATTTGCTTGAGATTTCATCACTTAAAATCTCTTGCAATAAAACTGACTCCATGAAAAGATATTACTCAACATGCTTTAATGCTGTCCCATCAAATTATTTTAATGGGCATATTTGAACAGAATTTTAAGTTTTCAGATACATTTTTTGTCGATATAAAAGAGAATTTGAAAGATGATTATAAAATGTTACAAATCAAGTTTAAATCCTGATCTTTTCATTTTCTCTAGCAATAAAGCTAACCAGCGATATGTCTGAAATATATACTACGGCAAACTCAACACAGATACGATTGGAAAATGAGACATTTTGGTTAATCAAATATTGTTATTAGTGCGATGCTATCTGTCGGTCTCTAATTTGTAAAAAATCAGAGAAAAACATGGTGAATCTTTGGTGACATAAGACTCACAAATCTTGATATCCTGGGGTCAGTTTTTAAAGCAGTAATTACACATGATACAAGATTATATTCTAAGCTCTTTTTTTTCCAGTAAAAAAAGATAAGTCAATGATGTTGCTTAAAGTTGATTCTTGTTTAATCAATTTTTAAAGTGGGGGGTAGGCAGGCACTGACAGCATTCTTTGGAAAGGGAAGCAACAGAGGAGAAAGGCAGGACATTTGCTGTCTGCTCACACTGGGAAATGTGGGGAGCCAGGGGTGATTAAGTCCAGAGAAGGCTGGATGACCGTCTGCAGGGCTGCATCTGGAAGGGCAAGGGAACGGTTTCCTTGTTGCCTCAGGGCATAGATCATGCAGCACAAGAGGAGCATTTAGGAAATGCAGATTTTTTTTTCAAGGCAAAACTGAAAACTATTCAAGAAGGTAGCAAACTGCTGACCCGTTAATGCTTTGCTTATCCTTGCAAGTGTGCAAGGCCAGACAGGAGATTTACCGTTGTCTTTCAGCTTGAATGAGATTGTGCCTCGCTTACTGCCACCACACCAAAGCCTGGTGTTTATTCCTGTGCGATCATTGTATACTGGGGACGTCTAACTGTGTCAGGAGGAAATGGCAACGGAGCTCCTGTGGCCTTTCACCTCTAGGGGTGCCACGCTGCAGCACACTGGCCGGCTACCATGCTCCTGACTCCAGTCCTGCCAGCAGCTCTTGTGAGCTGTGACTTTGCATAAGTAGCTTGAATGCCATGTGCCTCGGTAATTGTCCTTATTTCACTATCTATCTGTTCTTTTGGAAGGTGGCATTCTAGGTCATTACGTCATAAACACAAGTTGAACTTTGTGCTTCCATTCCAGAGGAAACAATATACCTCATAGTTAAAAAGCATTTCTAAAAAAATTCCTACCAAAAGTCATCGCTTAAGAACTTAGTCTCCTAGTGCCTCCACTGCCTCCACTTCCTCATTTGTTGCTCCTCTGTTGCTTCCCTTTCCAAAGAATGCTGTCAGTGCCTGCCTACCCCCCACTTTAAAAATGGATTAAACAAGAATCAACTTTACAGAATATCATTGACTTGACTTTTTTTACTGGAAAAAAAGAGCTTAGAATATAATCTTGTATCATGTGTAATTACTGCTTTAAAAACTGACCCCAGGATATCAAGATTTGTGAGTCTTCACTTATGTCACCAAAGATTCACCAAAGATGTAAAAGGGAGATGATGATGGTACCTATGCCCTGGCTGTAAACGAGGTCATGCCTGTGGAAGCAGTTGAAGTCATGCCTGGCAGAAGTGAATGGTGGCTGCTGCTGCTGCTGTTGTGATTGTTGTTACTCACCAAAGAGTTGGTTTTGTTTGGTTTAGATGAGCTGCTTCAGAAAGAGCAAAACTATTCAGATGACGTCTTGGCCAACATGATTAGTGAACCAAGGATCAGTTACGGAAACGATGCTCTCATGCCGTCTTTGACGGAAACGAAAACTACCGTGGAGCTTCTTCCCGTGAATGGAGAGTTCAGCCTGGACGATCTCCAGCCGTGGCATTCTTTCGGGGCTGACTCTGTGCCAGCCAACACAGAAAACGAAGGTAAGAGTCCCCTGAACCAGCAAGGGCGTTCCGGCAGGTATATATAGACATACATACATGTGTGTAGGAGGGGGAGAGAGAGTTATCTTTTGTATGTCCTTGAGTGGTGAATTTTTTTGATGTAGTAATAAATATTTTCATTTCAATTTTACTTTAAAAAGTAACTATTAGGAGTTACTATGTCATTAAAATAATATTTTATCTGTGTAAATTATTCTTTATATTTTTTATGCTGCAAAGCAAGTAAACTGCCAATTGTTGGAAAAGATAACAACCCCATTGTATAGGTGGCAAAACAGAATGGTAATGATTTACATAACATTTGCAAGTAAAGGACCTCTTGTTTCCCAAATGTCCAGATTTATATTCTAGGGAATATTATCCTTCGAGTGAACACTCCTGGACAAAGGAGAGCCACAGTGTATTATTCAAGAGGCAGTTCTTCACATGGAACATGTGTGGCAATAACATTCTTCTAATTTTTCTTTTCCCGTTCTTCTTCTTAATATAAAATAATACAGTGTATAACAATAAAAGCATATACATAAAGAGCATGTACTGTATGTCCTATATCATTTTTATGACTTTTTCAGATGAGGAAGTGGAGGCCCTAGGAGACTAAGTTCTTAAGCGATGACTTTTGGTAGGAATTTTTTTAGAAATGTTTTTTAACTATGAGGTATATTGTTTCCTCTGGAATGGAAGCACAAAATTCAACTTGTGTTTATGACATAATGACCTAGAATGCCACCTTCCAAAAGAACAGATAGATAGTGAAATAAGGAAAATTACAATTTATCCACAGAGAGGAGTTTTGACAGGGCCTGCGGAGATGGAGATTTGACAGGCACCAAAGTAGTCTTCATTGGCTACTTACTTGTACATGAAATTTCAGATTGAATTAAACGCTAAAGGCAAAGATAGAGAACTGCATATAAATAAAATTTAATTTTGATTAAGACTTAATTTGTGTTTAGAAAATTAAATTCAAGGCAGCTGCCAAAAATAAGGAGCACATTGCTCTAAATGTTTTTTCCTTTGGTATCTCAAAGAAGTAAGATTCTTCTCTATCAACAAATTTGAGCAGTAGATGGCATCATTTTTCACAGGGATTTCTTAGCAGAAATATCTGTTCAAGCGAGAGCATCTTTCAGCTTCTTTTTTATTCATGTTCAGAAGTATAAAATTACACACAAACACCTTGATTTCTAGATACAAATAACATGTTTTTTAAGAACACAGCATTTTACCTGATTTTCTTTATTTAGGTAGCAAATGTTGATGGAGATTTCATATTTATAATATACCTTATAGGCCGGGCGTGGTGGCTCACGCCTGTAATCCCAGCACTTTGGGAAGCTAAGGCGGGTGGACCACAAGGTCGGGAAATCGAGACCATCCTGGCTAACTTGGTGAAACCCCATCTCTACTAAAAATACAAAAAAAAAAATTAGCCAGGCGTGGTGACGGGCACCTGTAGTCCCAACTAGTCGGGAGGCTGAGGCAGGAGAATGGCGTGAACCCAGGAGGCGGAGCTTATAGTGAGCTGAGATCGCGCCCACTGCAGTCCAGCCTGGGCGACAGAGCAAGACTTTGTCTCAGAAAGTAAATAAATAAATACATACATACATACATACATAATTTTTAAAAAGTAAAAATATATATAAAATATACCTTATAACATGCAGTTAGTACATTCCTCAGACTAAATCTAAATATAATATTAGACCTTAAGTGCACTGGACAAGTTTTTTTTAAAGAACCATTGCAGAAAATATGTAGACTGTTTTCACAATGTGAGTCATCACCCCAAATTTGTTTCCTTAATTCGAAAAAGGGCACCTTATAGTAATAGCAAATACAAACAGCATGTTACTGACGATGTAAAAATAATTAAAACTTTACCATTTATGAAAACAATTCTTAATCACATAGAAGAAAACAAATTTAGGGACAGTTCATTATCAAAGACCTGGGCAACTACCCTATTAAATGTATTATTAATAGAGTGCAGATTGTGTTCTTTCTTTACAGGTAGATACATTTTGATCATTGAAAGTCCTTTTCATTCAGTCTCTAACGAGAATTTTTAGTGAAAAATGTCCAATCTCATTTTCTAAATTGAAGGCACACTAAATTTGCTCTTTCACTAACAGCATAACGTGTAGCATCAGCCTTAGGAGACAATCTGCATGCACACGTGTGAATGTACACACACACATACACTGAAACCCTTGGGTACTGCCAAGATGTCCATTTCAGCAAAGAGTTTGATTAAGTACTTCTGGATACTTGACAAACATGCAGCTATTACATTGCCTAGGCCTCATGAAAAGAGCTGATATTCTTGTTAAATAAGGATTCCGTTTGAACAGTAAAATCTAGTATAACAGTATTGGGAGGCAATAGGACTTGCAGTGTCAGAGTCTTGAGTTGGGGTACTCTTCGTTATCAGTCCCAACACTGATATATATTCATTATAGCAAACAATTTGAAAAACCTCTCCAACAATTTTTCAATAAAATTGATGGCCGTCATCTCATAGGATATTAAATACTATTCCACACTCGTGAACTCCTGAATGATACAGACCTGAGTTTAAATTCCAGCTCTGCTGTGCGCTTATGAGCAAGTTACTTAGCCTCTCTGGCTGCTTCCTCATCTGTAAAATAAGGTTGATAATAATTCCTAACTCGGAGGTATAGTACAAGCATTAAATAAGAAGGCATAAAATAACTCTTATCAAAATTCCTGGAACATAGTAAATGTCAGTGGTAGCTTTTTTTTTTTTTTCTTTTTTTTCTTTTTTTTAATGGAGCCAGGATCTTACTAGAGAGACTTTATCAGCCTGTCTCAAGATGGCCTGAACAATGTATCCTTAAAATAATGAATATAATAAGCCATATAATGAGATACAGTCCTAAAGCCATCTCTCTTCTCACACCATCTCCCACCTGTCCCCAGAAACTTGTTAGTCTTTCTTCTTACAGACATGTGCGTGCACACACACACAACTACTGAAAATATCTAAAATTCTCAAAGGATTTCCTTTTGTTCTTCATGCAGTCCTCATTATCATAGTTTCAAATGCTTGCCAAAAATGTGTTGTTTTTCTCAAGAACAATCAGGGAAATCCAGAGGAGGGTCTGATGCCCATTTTTTTAATTTACATTGAAAAAAATAAGCATATCAGAGTTTTCCAATATAATATACTCTTGAACAGCTGCAATTTACCTTAAGACATTTTTATTCTTTGGTTTTCACATTCACAAAACGTAAATGAATGGCTAGGCTGCAATGAAGCTGTTGTTACAGAATTGTGCTCACAAATCGTGAAATGATCTGGCTGGGAGCATTAGCGTTAATGACATTTGTGTTTGTTCTGCTTTTTCCTGACTGCCTGAGAAGGGCAGCCACAAAGAGCGGCATAGCATGCAGTAACCGCCAGGAAGCCTTTGTGGCCAACAGTCTGCCTCTTCGTAAATAATACCTAGATATAATACGTAGATAAAATACTGTAATATTTTTAAAGAGAGACAGCAGGTCTTATAAGACTGTATGGATGTATTTGCAAAGTGTGAAGCTGCCTTCTAGTATATTTTTAACTAGCTTTATAGAGGCAATGAGGAAGCCAATTTAAATGCTGAAATTTAGATTAAGTATTTCATTAAACTTACAAACCAGTTCTTGTCAGGCCTCTTATCCATATGTAAAACTGGTGTACTGCTGATTCCTCATTACCTTTGACCTGGTAGAGAGTTTGTACAAGGCAGCACTGTTAATAGTTTAGGTTTATTACAAAGAACACCAGAAGTAGCAAACTCAAAAATCCCAGAGGTCTGACCATTCTGTTTCTCTCCTCTTACAGCAAAGGATTAGATTCAAAGCTACTGAGATCAAAAGAATAACTCATTGCTGCTTACATTTTATTTTAACTCTATTAAAAGTTAAAGATAAGAGAATCTATTTCTTGTTTTTAAATTACTAAATGGCCAATGTAAAATGTTTTTAACACTTTATTGATGAAGTTACTTTCCGGTTAAGTAAAGGTCCACTGGAAAAATTGGAAAGTATTTGCAATGGATTGGGAAATACACTACTTTGTTTTGTTGGTGTGTATTTTTTTTTTTTTTTGGCAATGATATCATAATTGCCTTTTAAAAAAGAACTGTATTTTAATGTCTGCTCCCTGTGCCACTTATTTTTTTAGCATTAATTTATACTAAATCAGCTTCAATCTTTTAAAGCAGATGAAGGTTTATGTCACTGAAACTAGTTTTGTTTGATCTTCCTAAAAAATAGGGAAGGTTTTATTACTGTTTTTAAATAATACATGCCTATTTAAAAAAAAAAAAAGAAGAAGAAGAATGGGGAGAGGCAGAGAAACTTACAGGACTGTATCATTTGTAAGTTTCTTTCGCATAAGTATACTCATTTGAACCCTGGAAAAACCATTTACTTTGTGACACAACTGAAGTTCAGAAAGACTGTGATCGGCCCCAGATCACGGAGAAAGTAAGTGGTGACATTAGCAGTGGCGCCTGGGACCACCAGCTCCTCAGCCTGCATTTAAACCACAGGCCCACTTCACTTACTTCCCCTGAGTTGCATATACATTTTCTAATAATTTAACTATTGATGTATGCGCTCACCACCACTTCAAGGTACGTGTTTGCCCTCGTGCATGTGGTTTGGTGTGTTCTTAACTGCAGTTGAAGCACTATTTGGGTTCCTCATCATCAGGAAATTCTCAAAAAGTACAATGACCTTTCAACTAACTGCATTTTACAAGGAGTAATAACAGTTACTCATTACAGGTTGCTGCAGATAAGAAAAAACTTGAAGTATAGAACAACCAAACTTCATTGTCAAAATGTATTTGGGAGTTGCAGAAGAAAGTGAAGTATGTCTTCCTCTAAATGCACTAGTGGAAAACTAGAGAATAGTCATTCTCACATCAGTTACTACGGAATATTTAATCATAGGATATTTAATCAGTGCAGTTCTGTAGTATTTGGTAGTGTCTGAAACAGGCTTTAAAGGTTATTTGTTCCTCACTATAATTAGAAGATGCAGATGTTAACATTTCTATTTCCATATGGAGAAACAGCCACAGAAGTGGGCGCTTGCCCAAGGTCACAGATGTTGTCAATGTTGGGCCCAGACCTGGGATCAGATGCCTCACCCTCCTTTTGGCTCCACCATGCTGCCAGTCTCTACATGAGAAAGGACCAAACCACCTTACTCTTTTATTTCATCCAAATGTCCTAGTGCTCCCCGAAATATTTTCTCATATTTTGGAGACTTGGCTTACTGCCACTTTTTTCCTCCCTCACTGTTTCTATTAACATGTGTCATCCAAAACTGATTTGGACTGAGAATCCCACCTTTGAATGCCTGGCATGTGTGCATCAGTAAGCTGGATGGTTTTACTGAAATTGTTAGGAGCCATCTCATCGAGCACACCGTGTCTCCCTCAGCACCTGTGCTCGCTTTGTCTTACCTTCTTCCCTTTACACTTGCCACCTTACCAAAGGGGCTTCCCCCTGTGCCTCCACCCCATGGCTTCATTTACCCTATGACCATTTATTAATCCTAAAACCTTCGCCTTTGTCCCCATTCCTTGTTTCTTCAAACACCAGTGTAAACAAGGAAGTATTTTCTAAGCATCAGAAGTGCTTTGGAAAGGTCAGATGGTGGTGAGGAATATCGTACTGTCCACACTGCTTTCTTTGGGTCAGACCCAGAACACATACAAAGGAAAAATTGGGCACAATGGCAAATATAAAATGAAATATCCTCATTTCACATGTTTCAGCTGTGTGTCATCTGTCAAATGGAAACCAGCCTTTTTGAAAAAGAGAAAGACAGACTGCGGTTTCCCTCTTCTGCCATCATACTAAGGACAAATTTGATTCACTCACTAAATGGCAGATGATGTGGTAAAACTTGGCTCCCCTGATAAATTCATATTTGCACTTCCCCTGGAAATTTAAGAGTCCTTTTGTAGTTAATTAACTGTAAAATAAGATAAGATTGGGCAGTTGTAAAAGGAAGTATCTTTAAGGTTTTCTGCTAGGCTGGGAATATTTTATTTCTAATCAAAAGCCAAGAAACTATCTCTAAACTAGCTCAGAGGAAAATCCACCCTCCCCACCCCTCTTCTTTGAAGTTGCTGCCTATCCTGGTGAGGGCTTTTATTAGAAAACTAAGGAGCAGGACTGGCACATCAATAGCGATCAACCATTTAAAGTGCTGCCCCTCCTGGTCCTCGATGCTCGGGATTAACTCACTGTGGTTCTTTCCTGGCTGCTCCTTTTTTGTAACTTGTTTATTGCATATGCTTTTTTTCCCTGCTCGACTATGTTCGGGAGCCACGACTTACCATCTCGATTTGTCTTGTTTGCTTTCTGTGTCTCTTGCTTCCTGTGCCCAGTTGAGCCTGTTGATGCCCGCCCTGCTGCCGACCGAGGACTGACCACTCGACCAGGTATTGGAACCGCTTGACTTCTGCCTCTCCGCATCTTGTGCCTGAGCTGAGCAGACATTGTCTCCTTTCTGCATGTTAATAAGCCTCTTACTGCTTACTGTAGAGTAGAATCTGAAGTGACCTTAGAAACCACACTTTTAAAAATTCCCCTTGACTTTTCCTTACTCTTCATTTCCCAAATTCTGAGTGATTTGTTTTTTGTTTCTGAGCTTTCCTTTTGAAACCTCAAAGAGAGCCCTTCCAAATTTGGCTTTCTTTTTTTTTTTCTTTTCTTTTTTCTTTAAAACAAACAAAAACCAGAGAAGATTATGTAGCTCCTGTCCTTACAAACAGAAGCCCAGACAGATGTAGACTGTCAGGTGATGACTTGGATACCAGTGTGAACATCTCTCCTTTCTTGTTTGGTGTCCAGATGGGTCACTTTCTAACTAAACTGCGCTCAAACTTCAATCAGTTACTGAAGTAGACATGATTTCCTGAAAATACCAGAATTGGTTTCTCGCCAGAGCCAGAAATATATCTTCTCTTTTGTGGGTTGTATGTACTTATTCTCAATGAGTGGCTAAAGTAACACAACAGATGTAGATGCATAATTTTGCACATAAGCCCTTTATTTTTTTATATTACTTAAAAATCCCATTAACACTGAAATAGACACTTATTTTTTTTACAGTTTCACAGGCATTAAGAAGAAACACATTTTTATTTTATGAATAATGTCGTAGCACAGCAGAAGCACATACGTGCCTGGTGTCTACTCCCTGAACAGCCTCACCCAACTGAGAGTAGCCAACGCTTTCAGTGAATCAAAAAGAGGAAGAAAGTTATTGAATTGACAAATCTGTATATTCCAGAGAGATTTTAATCCTAAATAGCACATACTTTCCCGTATTTATTTTCTTCTTTATCCTCATAATGTCCCCAGGCAATAATCAAAGAACAGGGAATGAACCTTCTTTGAAGATATTAATGCACAGAGGTCAACCTTTGCTGCCTGGTTCAGATACAGTCAGCAGCAGAGCCAGAAGGAGACCCACGCTGTCCCTCACGCTTCCACCACAGGCTCAAGCCATGACCGCCTCCTCCAAGCACAGTCACTCGTGAAGACTCAGAGTCTGCCTTGTGGCATCTTCATGCCTTTATGCTGCGATTAACAATGGCAGCAGAGACAGTAGCGTGAGACGTCTTGACAGCTGGTCTCATTGATGTTATGAATTTGTCTGTAGGCTTTTAAGGGGAATTTAAATTATAGTGAGTCAGAGACAGTGTCAGTTCTTCTGATGTCCTCCTTATTGTCAGTGTCATGTAAGGGAATCTCAAGGAGCCAGGAGCTGACATTCCTGTTCTGCTCAGCCAACTTGTAAGGCCTCGGGCTGAGGGTCAGTTCAGTTCTAATTGCAACCACAGCCAGCTGAGGTTGGTCATTTGCCTTGGGACTTTTTTCATGGTGCTTCTCACTTTAAAAGATTTGCTTTTCATCTACAAGCATAAAACGTAACTTAGAAAGTGCTCATTTGACTCATTCAGTTTTATCAAATTTCCCCATTGGGCCAGCAGAGCCTATATGTTACTGTTGAAATCTCCAGGAAGAGGTGACACTACCAGTCAATGTTTTTTTTCTTTTTTAAAAAAAAAAATTGTTTTTTGGTTTTTGTTTTTTTGAGAAGGAGTCTTGCTCTGACATCTGGCTACCCAAGTCCAAGTTCTTATGACCCAGACCAATCACAGGCTAAGAGAACTTGAAGGTGAAATAGAACCATTGCCTGTGGTCTTTGTGGAAAGCTGGGAAGGTAGGGATAGGAAAATGAAGTTCTGAATAGCAAAAAGGAGAGAAGGTAACTTCACAGTCTATAAGCCAGGTATAGATTGACATTGATTATGGATCTCTCTTCAAACAGGTTATCAAGTGGAAGCTTTTTGAACACTTGGATGAGGGAATGGGGCTATGTCACAACCAGCATGGATTTCCTAGGTTTTGTCAGATTATCCTTACCTTCTCCTTGTATGGGCTGTGCTGTTAGACTGGCACATCATATGCTGTGTACATTGTGCTTTTCAGTGTCAGCAAGATGTGTGACAAGTTTCCCAGCATCTCATAGACAAGATTGAAAGAGTGATTAGGCCAAGAGCAAGAAGTAAATTCCCCTGGGAGCCAAAGGAATTGGGAATGTGTAGCCCAAGTAAGACAAGAACCAGCAGGAACATGCCTCTCCTTAGGGATGTGATGCCTGTTCAAGGTTTTACTGTGGAAGGGAGAATTAGGCTTGCTCTGTGTTGAATCAGACTTCAAGGATGGAAGTTACAGGGAAACTGATTCTGGCTTCATGTAAATAAGGCCATTTTGGCAGGCAAATCTATCAAAAAATGGAGAGAAATTGATACATTCCTCTGTGTTCAAACAGGAACTGACAGTCTGCCCCTGGGTGGGAACACCATAGAAGAGATGACTTCAAAGCCCTTTTCATCCTAAAATCTGATGTTTGATAATTAAATGTTATAGCATGGACACTGACGTTTATATTTTGTACTTAGTTTTTGGTTTTTAAATGACTTTGCGTTTTGTTTTAAGCTTCAAATTATTATTTGAATAATGAAATTCATCAGAACAATTCGTATTAAGAATCATATAGCAATTTATAGAGAAGGAAGAGTTTGTAGTTTATAAAATCTGTTAGTCGCTAAGAAGCATTTTAAAAATTATGTACTGTAGCTCTTTATTCAGCAGACGAACCAATTACAATCTGTGTCTATAACTAGAACACTTGACTAAAATCATATAATTTTTACAACGCTTCACTGCATAGATACATGAACATAATTTATTTGTAATTGGAACAAAGCCCCAAAGTAGCAGTTTTGTTCCACTAGGTAATTAATGTTCATTTTTAAAGCCTTTTATTGTTATTTCTGAAGTAATGAGTGCCCATGGAAAAAGACACATAATAGGCTAAACAATGAGCCCCTAAGCCAAGCCAACATATTCCAGGAACAAATCCTTGCCAACCTCTCAACCAGCATTTAACTTCTGCATTTCCCCCATTTTCAAAAATTATAGCATGTAATTAAAGGCAGCAGAAGGCTTACGTTCAGGTTTCCCTTACCTTTTCATTTCTTTTTGTTTAAAATAGGTAGTAATTAAGGATTTAAATGTAGGGTATCATTTTTCTTGAAGAAAGTCATTAATCAATTTTCCTCTAACTTCAGGCCTAGAAAGAAGTTTGGGGTAGGCTTTGTCTTACAATGTTATTATTTATGAGTAAAACTAATTGGTTGTCCTGCATACTTTCATTGTGATATAATACAGGTTCTGGGTTGACAAATATCAAGACAGAGGAGATCTCTGAAGTGAAGATGGATGCAGAATTCCGACATGACTCAGGTTATGAAGTTCATCATCAAAAATTGGTACGTAAAATAATTTACCTCTTTCCACTACTCTGTTTGTCTTGCCAAATGACCTATTAACTCTGGTACATCCTGTGCTAGAAATCAAATTAAGGAAAAGATAAAAACAAAAATACAATGCTTGCCTATAGGATTACCATGAAAACGTGAAGAAAATAAATAGGCTAGGCTGGGCGCAGTAGCTCACGCCTGTAATCCTAGCACTTTGGGAGGCTAAGGCGAGTGGATCACAAGGGCAGGAATTGGAGAACAGCCTGGCCAACATGGTGAAACCCTGTCTCTACTAAAACTACAAAAAATAAAATTATCTGGGTGTGGTGGCATGTGCCTGTAGTCCCAGCTGCTCGGGAGGCTGAGGCAGGAGAATTGCTTAAACCTGGGAGGTGGAGGTTGCAGAGAGCCGAGATCATGCCTGGGCAACAGAGCGAGACTGTCTCAAAAAAAGAAAATTAAGAGGCTCTGTGTGTAGTTCTTTCAGACTACAGGGCAGCTAAGTTCGTGCAGGACTCGGGACTTAAAGTAGAATTAATTTCAATATAGCAGTTTCCACTGTGTTTTCTGGGAAAATAGGTTTACAATAGGTTTACTTGAAGGATCAGAGTCAAACACGTGCATACGCTGCTTGGTTTTCTAGAACACTTTATATAGCTTAAGTTCACATCTGGAACTGTCTTCCTTTGCTCATTCATCTCTCCCCCAGCTTTTTCTTTTCATTCCCTCCCCTACCTCCCATGCTTTAACTTCTCTTGCAAGAATAAGATCATGGGGTGAGCAGGACCCCGTGATGTTCCTGATAGTGTTATTCATCAAAAGGTTTGTGCAAAGAAGACAGCAGCTTCCTTTTCAGATGAAATCACTTTTCCCCCCTAATGTTAGAATTGGAGTAAATCAAAAAGCCACATCTCTTTTGTGGTCAGCTCTAGTAGTTATATAAAATCCTTTACCAAAAGCTTAGAAATTCAGATAAATCAAATAGTGGATTCTGTTAGGGTTCCATCTTATCAGTAGGTGGGTGCAGTAAGGGGTTAAATTAATAAGACAATTTTATCACATTCAGTGGTGGACAGAAAAATGGTAATAAAATTTCCATAGCAATTATACTTGAAGTTATCTCAGGCACTTCTTTTGTTTGTGTGTGTGTGTGTTAACTTTTTTCAAGCAGAAAATGTCTTTTCAGTATTCGTAAATAAAGTTGATAAATCCTAGTATTAATCTCGAAAAGAAACACCTTCAAATTATTATTTATGCCTCACTTGACTCTAAATAATTGTAGCAAATAAAAAACTGACTTGGGATTTGGATTTGCATTCTTAACTCCCATCGTTCTATTTTTACACTAAGACATTTAGCTTTTTGAAGCATGGTTTTCATTGGCAAGATAATCTAGTATCAATTATTATAAAATCAGGGTTTCTCTTGATAAGGCTGTTGCTGAAGAGGTTAATAAAAACTGGGAAACCGCTGAAGAGTTGAGAGTTGGTAGGGCAGAAAGCTGAAGATTAATGTACAGAAAATTTGCATTCACTGGGGCTTGTGTCATATAAGCCCATCTCCACAATTACACTAATGCCTATAATGTGACAGTGACTAATGGCAGCGGCAGCAATTAGGAGAATCAGCTCCCTCTACTGAACTAGTTGATAAGATAATGTACTATAATTAGTGCAATGAATATCACAGAATTACAGTATTTTCTTAAAGGCACAGGAATATGTCCAGACTTGCATTTATTCCTGATTACCTCACACTAGTATATTAGCTAATTAATGATTTGCTTTTCATAAAAATATTGAGTTAGCATATTTGTTTAGTAAAGGGAATAATTATGAACAAGTTCTCATTTTGTTATAAACCATGAGTAAAACACTTTTAGAAGTTGCTTCATTTGCTGTATTTTATATTGCCTTCCAGATTGCTAGTATGTTAGTTTTAGCTTAGAAAAATCAGTCATTTGACTACCTTGAGGCTATATTGAAAGAATTTTTTAGGGAGGTAGAGGCATACCTTGGAAATTTCAGAACACCACAGTAAAACACATTTTGCAATAAAATGTCACACAAATTTTTTGGCTTCCCAGTGCATATAAAAGTTATATTGGCCAGGCGTGGTGGCTCATGCCTGTAATCCCAGCACTTTGGGAGGCCAAGGCGGGTGGATCACAAGATCAGGAGATCGAGACCATCCTGGCCAACATGGTGAAATGCCTTCTCTACTAAAAATACAAAAATTAGCCACATGTGGTGGCATATGCCTGTAGTTCCAGCTACTCGGAAGGCTGAGGCAGGAGAATCTCTTCATCCCGGGAGGCAGAGGTTGCAGTGAGCCGAGTTAGCACTCCAGCCTGGGCAACAAGAGCGAGACTCCATCTCAAAAGAAAAAAAAAAAAATTTATATTTACACTATACTATAGTCTGTTACATGTGCAATAGCATTATGTCTATAAAAAAAGCCATGTACCTACTTTAATTACTTTTATTAGTAGAATATTTTATTACTAAAAAATGCTAATGATCATCTGAGTCTTCAGCAAGTCCTAATCTTTTTGCTCACGGAGATTCTTGCCTTGATGTTCACTGCTACTGGCTAATCCAGGTGGTGATTGCTGAGGTTTGTGGTGGCTGTGGCAATTTCTTATGAAGTTTGCTGCGTCGATTGACTCTTCCTTCCATGAAAGATTTCTCTGTAGCATGTGATGCTGTTTGATAGCATTTTGCCCACAGTAGAACAGCTTTCAAAATTGGAGTCAGTTTTGCAAATCTAGCCACTGCTTCATCAACTGAGTTTATGTGATATCCTAAATCCTTTGTTGTCATTTCAACAATGTTCACAGCATCTTCACCAAGAGTAGATTCCATTGCAAGAATCCACTTTCTTTGCTCATCCCTAAGAAGTAACTCCTCATCCGTTCAAGTTTGATCATGAGGTGGTAGCAGTTAGTTCAGTCATGTCTTTAGGCTCCACTTCTAATTCTAGTTCTCTTGTTATTTCCACCACATCTGCGGTGACATCCTTTACTGAAGTCTTGAACCCCTCAAAATCACCCATGAGAGTTGGAATCATCTTCTTCCAAACTCCTGTTATTGTTGATGTTTTGACCTCCTCCTATGAATCACAGATGTTCTTAATGGCATCTGGAATGGTGAATCCTTTTCAGAAGGTTTGCCGTTTACTTTGCCCAGATCCATTAGAGGAATCACTATCTATGGCAGTTTTAATAGCCCTACAAAATATATTTGAAATATATTTTGAAGTAATAAGAGGCTGAAATAATAAGACTTGAAAGTTGATCCATGGGCTGCAGAATGAATGTGGTGTTAGCAGGCATGAAAACAACAGTAATCTCCTTATACCTGTCCTTCAGAGCTCTTAGGTGACTAGGTGTTTTGTCAGTGAGCAGTAATATTTTGAAATGAATCTTTTCTGAGCAGTAGGTCTCAACAGCGGGTTTAAAATATTCAGTAAACCATGCTGTTAAGAGATGTGCTGTCATCCCAGTTTTGTTGTTCCATTTATAGAGCATGGGCAGAGTAGATTTAGAATAATTCTTAAGCACCCTAGGACTTTTACAATAGTAAATCAGTCTTGGCTTCAAAAACTTAAAAGTCACCAGCTGCATTATCCCCTAACAAGAGAGTCAGCTTGTCCTTTGACACTTTGAAGGCAGGACTTCTCTCTAATGATGAAAGTCCTAGATGACATCTTCTTCCAAATAAGTCTGTTTCATCTCCACTGAAAATCTGTTATTTAGTGTAGCCACCTTCATCAGGAGTTTTATCTAGATCTTCTGGATAGCTTACTGCAGCTTCTCCATCAGTACTTGGTGCTTCACCTTGCACTTTTGTGTTATGGAGACGGCTTCTTCCCTTAAACCTCGTGAAATCAACCTCTCCCAACTTTTTTTTCTTCTGCAGCTTCTTCACCTCTCTCATCCTTCACAGAATTGAAGAGAGTTGAGGGCCTCTTCTTGATTAGGCTTTGGCCTAAGAGAAAGTTGCGGCTGGTTCGATCTTCCATCCAGACAACTAAAACTTTTCTCCCATCAGCAATAAAGCTGTTTTGCTTTCTTATCATTTGTGTGCTCTCTGGAGTAGCACTTTTAATTTCCTTCAAGAGCTTTTCTTTGCATTCACAACTTGGCTAACTGGCACAAGAATCTTGGCTTTCAATATGCCTTGCTCACTAAGCTTAATTATTTCTAGCTTTTGCTTTAAAGTGAGAGACGTGTGACTCTTCCTTTCACTTGAACAATTGGAGACCATTGTAGGGTTATTTACTGGCCCCGTTTCAATATTGTGGTCTCTCAAGGAATAGGGAGCCTGGGAGTTGAGGGGCGGAGTGGCCAGTTTGGGGGGCAGTCAGAACACACACAACATTTATTGATTTAGTTTGCTGTCTTTATGGGCATGTTTCATGACACTGCAAAACAATTAAAATAGTAACATCAAAGGCCACTGATCACACAGATCACCAAACAGATATAATAATTTTTAATGTTTGAATATTTAAATAATTACCAAAATGTGACGCAGACATGAAGTGAACCTGTGTTCACTGTTGGAAAAATGGCACCAATAGACTTGTTTGATACAGGGTTACCACAAACCTTTAATTTGTTTTGTTTTCTTTTTTAAAAAAAATACTATCTGTAAACACTACTGTGCAATAAAGCTAGGTATGCCTGTATTTTCATTAAGTTGCAGAGCAAACATGATAATGTTTAGCTATAGTTTTACTTCATCTGGCATAAGATCAACTCCTTATATAACAAGATGATAAACGTTGTGGTGTGCTTCTATCATTTCATTCAAGTAGATAAAGTTGAAAAATAATGACTTGCTTTTATAAACAGTATGAAGCAATGTAGTGCAATAAATGAAATTTTATTTCTTCTTTACAATGTTCTCAAAATTCTTTTTATGTTTAATCCAAATAAAGAGCAAAAATAAAGCAACATTTCAGATTTTGGTTTCTGGAGACAATAGTAAGAAAGCATGAGTTATGAGTGACTTAAAATTCTTGTTGCCTATACTTCCCCTTGAAATAACATTATGCTTTAAAAAGCATTACACTGCTAAAGGTTAATTAGAATTCTGCTGAATTACTATAAGTAACAAGATACCTTTTTTTCTATTGTTTAACTCCTTGGTTTCAGAATACCTATTCCTGTGCATTAAAAGTGTCCCTCCTAGGACATCTACAGGGCTGAAAAACACCCAAGTCTCAGTCACTTAGAGTCAGACATCAGGGCTCAGAGTTTCAAACCTGCTGTGACTGGGAAAATGCTGACCTTCTTTCATTAGTATGATCCGTGCCTTTCCAGCTTTTGATAGATACAAGCGCCATCTTCCCACCACTCACCAAATGTTCCACCTGTCAGAGTTTCAGGTCGCTGCAGACTTTGGTTTTGACATGTGAGGGGAAAGTAGACTTCCTCATACTGGGGAAGCCACATGTTGTACATCGTTCCTGTAAACTATGATTGTCATTCTTAGTAAGGAGAATATGTGATTTCTTTTCTTTTTTTAAGTAATCATCAAATACGTGACCAACCAGTTGGCCAGAGAATATACTGAAACTTTTCATATAACCTCATCCAAATGTCCCCTGCATTTAAGAAATGAAATTCTAATTGCATTTATAAATTGTAAATTATATTGCATTTACAAATTAAAATTATTTTTCTTAATTTGTTTTCAAGGTGTTCTTTGCCGAAGATGTGGGTTCAAACAAAGGTGCAATCATTGGTCTCATGGTGGGCGGTGTTGTCATAGCAACAGTGATCGTCATCACCTTGGTGATGCTGAAGAAGAAACAGTACACGTCCATTCATCATGGTGTGGTGGAGGTGGGTAAACTTGACTGCATGTTTGCAAGTGGGAATTAAAGAAGACTATGAGAGAATTAGGCTTAGCTTTTTGCTAAGAACTAGCTAAGTATCTCTTTCAAAAAATGAATCAATGTGCTTCCATGGTGCTTGGGTTACAGCTGTTCTTTCTTGTTTTGCATTTTGTTCATTGCAACTTATCGTGAATATTCTGATCAAGGTATTGAGATTGCGTGTTGTTATCTCAACTTATAATTTGTTTTGAAGTTATCAAAATAACAAATGATAATGCATGACTTTTCAAAAGTATGATTACTCTTAGACTTTTTTTTCAAAGACAACAAAAATCAGTGTGAGAAGTTAAAAATAAAAACAGAAGTAGGAAGTTGCTTTTTCCAGAAAAAGCTAAACATATTTATTCCTGGATTTCTTATGTCTTAAATAGTCTGGCCTCTGAATACAACCAGGTAATAGTAAATAATGTGATTTTTCAGTGCAGACTTTTACCCTTTAAAGTTTCTCAGGAAATCACACTATACCAAATGGCCCACCAAAACATAAATGATTGTTATTTGAGAGTTCTTCAACCTATTACCCTGCACTTCCACCTGAAATATCTTAGTTTCAAGGTGCTATACAAAAACAAGAGAGAAAGAAAGAAAATTTACAAATAAGTTATTTTTATGCATTTAAAATGCCATTTGGATGGGGGAAAAAGTGTTAAAATCTCACGGTATATGCAACTTTTTAGGAAACTGTCTTGCAGAAAATATAGTATAAACATAGCTTTTATATGCACAGGGAAACTGAAAAATTTGTGTGACATTTTATTGTGATATTTTAAGAGTTATGGAATTTTTAGGGCTGAAAGATATATTGATGGTGATCAATCAAATTCATCTTCTCACCTTGTAGATGAGGGAACTGAGGCCAAGGCAGAAGGGTTCAAATTACACAGGGTCAAGCTCAGAGTCCATATTTCCCCTCATATTCCCCACTGCTATTTTTTTTGAGACAGAGTCTCGTTCTATTGCCCAGGCTGGATCTTGGCTCACTGCCACCTCTGCCTCACGGGTTCAAGCCATTCTCTTGTCTCAGCTTCCTGAGTAGCTGGGACTATGGGCACACGCCACCATGCCCGGCTAATTTTTACGTTTTTAGTAGAGACAGGTTTTCACCATATTGGTCAGGCTGGTCTTGAACTCCTGACCTGAGGTGATCCACCCACCTTGGCCTCCCAAAGTGCTGGGATTACAGGTGTGAGTCACCACGTCCAGCCGCCATTGCTTTTTCCATCAGAGAAAAGTCCAGATGTTGCTAGGGAGCTGAAGATTCCACTGTCCCCAAGGAACTGTGCTCTAAACCATTCTTGATTAGAAGAGGACAGAGTTTAAATAAATGAAATTTGTGGTGAAGCCAGAATTTCATTTTGCTCGGCACTTAAAACCTCTGCAGACTACAACAGAAGCTGCTGATGAAAGTTAGGTTTGAGCCTTATTTCCCCATTCATACTGACGTGGATGAGCAGTGTGAGGAAGGAAACCAAGAGGAGAACAGGCAGCAGGGTGGAAAGGAACGGATTGGTTCATAGACCAGAGTGTGAGCACATAAAAGCAGTGACCCCATTGTCACGTTCGGTCATTGCACCTTTTGGAATGGTATCTAAGCTTGTGTCCCTCAAAACAGTGTAAGATATGTTCTCATTAGTATCAGTTTCTTTCATTTCTGCTCTAATTAATTTTTTTAAAAGTTTTAATTCCATATTTGAGCAAATAAAGATGTCCTCATACTTGAATAATTCAAGAGCTCTTTTTTGCTGTTGTTTTGTTTTGTTTTATTGTTTTGTTGTTGTTTTCTTTTTTGTTGTCGTTTCTTTGTTTTTTGAGATGGGAGTCTCGCTCTGTTACCCAGGCTGGAGTGCAGTGGCATCATCTCCACTCACTGCAACCTCTACCTCCCAGGTTCAAGCGATTCTCCTACCTCAGCCTCCTGAGTAACTGGGATTACAGGAGCACACCACTATGCCTGGCTGATCTTTGTATTTTTAGTAGAGACAGGGTTTCGCCATGTTGGCCAGGCTGGTCTTGAATTCCTGGCCTCAAGTGATCCACCCTCCTCAGCCTCCCAAAGTGCTGGGATTATAGGCATGAGCCACTGTGCCCGGCCTTCAAGAGCCCTTTTTAATTTATTTAATATAGTTCTATCTTTGCTGCCGGTCTATCCGTTGAAGTTGCCTGTCTTTGATGCCAAAGGCCAAAGACTTGGCTTCCTAGGGCTTCCGTAACAGAGTAACACAGATTGGGTGGATTAAGCAACAGAAATTTACCTTCTCACATTTCTGGAGTGTAAGATCAAGGTATCAGCCAGGTTGGTTCCTCCCCAGGCCTCTCTCCTTGGTTTGCAGACGGCTGTCTTCTCCCTGTATCTTCACATGGCCTTCACTCTGTGTTCTGCTGTGTCCTAACCTCTCTCTATAAGGACACCAGTCATGTTGGATTAGGATCCCCCCTGATGACCTTGTTTAACTCTAATTACCTCTTTGACCCTATCTCCAAATACAGTCACAGGTAGAAGTACTGGCAGGTTAGGACTTCAACATGTGAATTTTAGGGGGACACATTTTAGCCCGTAACAGGCCCCAGGGATGCTGAGCATAAAAGCAAGGCCTCCACCAGGAGCTCTTTCCCCTGGCTGTGCATGAGACGTACCAGGTCCTACCTCAGACCTAGGGAAACAGAATTCCCAAATAGGAGCCTGAGAATCTGAGTGTTGAAAATTTCCCCAAATGAATGAGATTGTGCAGTAAGATTTGAGAATCACTGACACATCATTTTAACACTCCTTCCTTTCAGTTCTATGCACAAGCCTTAGGGAGTGGAAAATTGTATCTCTTGCCTCCCAGATAACCAATTGCCCTTTAAGTGCTCTTCCAGCTGCCTGAATTAAAATGGTTGTTTTATTTAGTCAGTTACCAAGCAGTGTCTCATTGGACTTAAAATGTCAGAGGAGAAGTTGACATTTTGACCCAGATTCTGAAATTAATTTTTAAGCCAGAAGGTATCCTTGCAGGAGCAAAGTCGGGAAAGATGGCTGTTCAGCTCTTCTCTAGATACTCATTTTGCTGTCTACTTGAGAGCAACTGGAAACCTTTCTAAATGAAGGGCCCCACCTCGTTTGTGTTTTATGTCCTCTCATCTCCTTCTTCCTCTCAAGACCTTTGTGGCTGTCCTTCCTGAAGGCAGCCCTCTGTCCAGTGCTGTGGTGTGTCTGTACAGCAGTGTTGAAATAGACCACATTCTCCTTTTCTGTCCTCAAAAAAGGTATAGTCTAGCTGGGATGGTAGAACTTGAACACAGGGAGTTGCAACCCAGCCTATGCATGTTCTCAGCTGGGAGAGCACTGTGGGCTTTCAGAGCACCATTTTTCTCAGCATCCCAGCGTCTGCACGGAACGGAAGTGATGCTTCTGAAACATCCTCTTCCTACCTTAACAGGCTCTCTCACACTCAAGTACATGGAAATACCTTTATTTCCGGCTCTGGCTAACCTTCATTAATCAGTAATCCTACTTCAATAAGAACAAAAATGAGTACATGAATATTTCCAGTTGGACTCACCTCAGTCAGTCAGAACAGAATACCACTGTACTTACATACCATCGGTGCATGAAGAAGTCATGATGAAAGCATTGGTTTCCAGGAAACTGCTCGTTTTTAGAGTGAAAAATGCCTACAGAAGATCACAGAGATAGGAACCCTAGGGAAAAAACCTGAGAACAAATGTATAAATGAAACAAGCCTAGAACGGCCACATACCACTTCACACTGGAGATAACATTCTGAGAAATGTGTCGTGGGCGGTTTCATCGCTGTGCAAACATCATAAAGTACATGTACATAAATCTAGATGGTAGCCTGCTACACACCTGGGCTACACACCTACAAGCTATTGCCTCTAGGCTCCACACCTGTGCAGCGTGTTGCTGCACTGAATACTATAGACAGTTGCAACACACTGGCAGGTATTTGTGTATCTAAACATAGAAAAGGTACAGTAAAAAAATACAATATTAGAATCTTATGGGACCACCATCATATGTTTGGTCTGTCATGGACTAAAATGTCAGTATGTGACCCATGACTGTATTTTTATTGGTAGAGTTGTTAGCATTTGGAAATGAACACTTGCTACTTTTGTTTTTTAGAAAAAAAATTAAGCAGTACCTATTGACTTACTGATTTACTTAGCCATAAGGCCAGAGAGTCACTCTGTGAGCCGCTGGCCATGCTTTCCCAAGGAGGTAACTGTGCCTTATTGGTGCTTCAAGCAGTGAAGCAATAGCCCTTTATTATTACCACTCCCCAAATGCGCCCTCCATGTCAGAATACCCCTGTGGTGGCTGGAAATCTCAGCACTAGCTGAATCACCCACCCTTGCTCCTGTTTTAGGACATTCCTGCAAAGCCCACTGATCCCAGGATCTGTTTAGTAGCAAGCGGTACTTTTCTACGTTCACATACGTAGACACTGGATATTTTAAAATACGTATTGTAGCTCTTTCTGCTACTCTCCCCAGAGATGTCACCTTTAATAAGGAGAAGTTGGGGGCACAGCTTCTCTTTATTATAGGATGTGAAAAAGTTTTCCTCTCACGGATCTGATCACTGGAACACCAGGAGTCTCCCCGTCCCACCTCCTGGTCATCTCATTAATGACCTAAATAAGAAGAGAGTTCCTTATTTGGCTTTTATGGAGGTATGGCATATGACTTCCTGAGAAATGTGCTGTCATACTAGTGACTTCATAAAAAGATGTCCTTAGAGGTCCTTTCTTCCCAGCCGGAAACTGACCCACAAGGGTACAGATATACTGACGTCGGCATTGTAGAGTAGTTGGAGAGAGTGGTCAGGTTGAACGGAAAGCCACGATAAGGAGAAGTGAGGGTGGGTGCAGAACCTAGGAGTGGCTTCCTGCTTACAGAGCAGCAGGAAGAGAAATTGGAAGATCAAAGGAAAGCATCAAA